TTCAAGAAAAACTGTCATTCCAAACAGATTTATAGTAATGTTGTGGTTTAACCCCAGTCAGCAGTCACGCCCCATGCAGCCACTCAATCACTCCCCCACCAGTGGGATCAGGAAGAGAATCTGAGGGGTAAAAGGTGGAAAACTCTTGCACTGAGATAATGGCAGTTTAATACGAAGAGCAGAAGACCCACATGCAAGCAGAGCAAAAGAAGGAATTGATTCACTGCTTCCCATGGGCAGGCAGGAGTTCAGACATGTCCAGGAGAGCAGGGCCCCACCAGGCATAATGGTTTAGGTGAGAGCTTGTTCTTAAGCCCATTCTTGCAGCTCAAAACACAAAACTATTAGTTCTTACTTTTTAATTTTTACCTGCCTCTTCAGTGAAAATAAGTAACCTGAACTTCTTACTCAGAAACTGAATCATGTCCTTCTCAAATTTCAGTTCTTGGAGTAGTTCTCACATACTGCAACAGAAGGACCTTGCACAGCGGCTCTCCCCTACCATGGGAGTGGCAGGCTGTAAGAAATCTTATTCAGAGGTAGAGAAGGAAGATAAGGAAAAAAAGTGAGACTTAATTAGCTGTCACAAGCATTTGGTAGCCATTTTAAAATTTCTATTTCCCACATAGTCCAGGTGACCTATAATTAGCATCTCTGTAAACATTTTTATTTGGGGAAAGGGAAAGAGTAGTCTCTTTTATCCTTCTATAACCAATATGGTTGAGGCCTTTTGCCTATAAATAGCTCTTCTCTGTCCCTCCTTTTACACAAAACACAAACAATTATCTCTTGACACTTAAAAATAAGGAACAATCTATAACACATAAAAATTAAATGTGGTATTTTATTCTTAAATAACTGGTTAGTTTCGTACAATCTGGGTAATTATATTATTTAGGAGAATAAAGTGTGTGTAGTATATATAAAAAGGAAGATAAGTTATACATTTTTCCTGCATATTACCTGTATGTTGGGCTTTTTTAATTAGAGGTCTGAGAAATCCATAAATTGAATCCAAGAGGCATGACAACTATTATATTTCCACATGGAATCCATCTGTTCCTGAATGTTAATTGGATGTTTGTAGTCTTCTCAGCCTCTTTACTGAAACCAAATTTACCACAAATATCAGCTCTAAATTTAGAGGACCGTTTACATTAAGACACCATTAGCCTGATGCTGTATAACTATGAAATAGAATATTAGGAATTTTTTTTAACATTATCATATTATTACAAAAGGAAGCAAAACTTGTGAATGCTCAAATTCTTATCTATAGATACTTTTACAAGAGAAAACTTATTATACATATATATTAACTTTACATCAAGAGGTAGGAAACTTTGCTCTGTTACTCACACTTCAGATCTCTTTTCTCTATTTGATGCCATTTGTGAATCCCTTTATAACAACAGAAATTATGTTTTCCTCTGAAACACCATTTCGACAAATTCCACAAAAAAAGCAAGCTAATTTCTGGGAAAAAAAATTCTAGAGAGAGTTATCTTGTCAGGAAACATCATGACCTATGCAATCAAATGATGTAAAATCAAAGTCACATCATGAAACTTTGTTTCAGTAAAATTAATACAAAACCCCATAGCTTTAGTTACTGGAAGAAATTTACCTGAAAGAAAGTTGCTGAATCTCATGTTAGTTGCAATGACAAGGGCAGTGATAGAGTAATATAACTTGACTGTCATGAACCCAAACAAAAGGGTTTATTTTTGCTAAAATCAAGAAGAAAGTTTGATTCAGTTTCTCTTCTCTATGAGCCTTGTCTATTCCCAACAGAAGAGCTTATGAAATGCAAATACAGTTTCAAAACTTGTTCTACAAAGAGCATGAACATTAAAGTTCATGTTTATATATAAAATAAGCTCTCTGAATGTGTTTTTCTAAGCACCAAGATATCTCAACACATACACACAAAAACTCACAAAAATTTTCAGACTTGTTAAGTATAGTATTTTCGCATAACTTCTTGTCACATTGTCATTTAGAAAGGGGATTTGTTCACCTGCTAATGACACACATTATATGAGATGGTTTATCTTCTAATTTACATAATCTTTCAATTTTGAGACTGGAAAAAACACCTGCTTAATTAGCAAGTTTAATATCCTCTTTTTAATTAATTAGCATGTTTACTTTAATATTCTCTTTTTAATCACATCATAATATCTGATCAAATCAGGTAGAAAATATACTAGCAAAAATACACATATACTTTCTGAATCATGAAATGAAGCCAAGTAATTTGTTATCATAATTGTTAGCATGCTACCAAACATAATCATGACAGGTAAATAAACATTACCTGTTGAAAAGTCTTTCTCAGCTGGTTCATATTGTTTCAAACTGTTATATAACCCTGTTAAAATACAATGGTGCAGAGAGTGAGCAGAGAGTTCAAAGGTGGAGACTCCACAGTTCTGTGTGCAATCTGCTCCAGTATAACACACACCTTTTCTGCAACCTCCCTTATACTTTAAGTGGCTTTTCTGAAGAGTGGTAGCAAAGAACGACTTTCGTAAAACCTCATTTATGAAAGAACTAGCATCTTCACATCTTAGGTTTACCTTCAGTTAGTGTAATCACCTATTTTTCTTTACCCATCAGCATCATTCTTGGCCAACTAACCCGTAAACACAAATGGCCTTTACCCAAGTTCAGTTTGACTTGAGACATCTGAGCTCACATACCTAGGAACTAACTCTGTCTCAGAAAATAGGCCTTGTCAAAAAGACAGTTTGGACTTTTAAAATATTCTTTTCATTTCTGTTTTTTCAGCAATGTTTTTATTCTGGTTTTGTTGTTTCTTTCTACTTGTGTAGGGTCTTGGGCAGAATTAATGGCAGGTTTGTGGCACTAAAAAGGAATTTTAAAGTGTTGGAAAAAGTACATAAATACATAGAAAAATATAAATATACATATATAAACATATAGAAAAACACTAGTAGTATTTTATAAAATTGTAGCATCAAATAATAATTATAAACAGGAAATACATTACTTTTCCATTTACTTGCTTACTATGCTTTTGCAGAAAGCAAGAAATTAAAAATCTTCCTGTCCTTCCTGTTTAGGTTATCTCCAACTCCATTTAAAAGTGTTGTATCCTGAGCAAGGGTCTCAAGAGAAATATTATGGTGCTGGGAGAACACTATGGTAAATAAAGGCAGTTTATTAAGAGCATCTTCATTCTTGTGGGAAGAAACTTGGATCATGCTGTCATACAAAGGTAAAAGGTAGCAGCATTCAGGTAGTTATCAGTTCTCCTGCTTCTAGTTCTTCACCTGCTGAAGAACTCAGATACTTAATTAAAAAAATAAAATACCATTTGATAGAAGTAAAACTTGGCATTAAACTTGCTTTTTCCAAGTCATCCATATCTGACCTTAACTTGCCTGACTTTTTTTGTGTTTCCATGCCTGCGGTAGTGAAAAGCTGAAGGATGCTCTTCCTTTTCTGTTAGCTAAATTTTCAATGCTAACTGTTGCACTTGGAAGAACAGTCCACTATCTCAGTTCCTTTTAGTAATTCAGTATCCTTCTCCTCAGAAATAGTCCCACTAGGAGGGAAAGTTTCATCAAACTAGCAGCCATATTCCACTTACCCACATGTGAGCAGAATTTTCTTTTGGAATACTATCCCTCATTTTTCAAACTTTTCAAAAACTAAGAGACAAAGGATGCTGGGGCTCTGATATTGTTTGATTGCTGGAGATGCCTTAATAATGAATTTATCATGAATAGGAAGCCTCCCAAGAGACACAGACCTAATGAAAAATATATTAAAAGTAACTGAAGGTTCTCAGACATATTGACAATATCAAATTGTAATTTGCCAGTCAATAAACATTCAAAAATCTATTGTTAATTCTCTTGTTAATGATAAATTTATCAGCCATTTATCAAAAACAATTATTGAAGTCTTAGGTAAACAGAATTGTTTTGACTGATTCATGTCCGCAGAACATTCAGCACTGACTTGCAGTTGCCTGCTTATTTCCTACAAAAGCTTCTAACTTAGGTTTACAAGGACAACGCTAAACCTAAGACAGGACAATATATCAGAGTGGACAATTACCAATCTAGCTAAGGGATGATAAATTCTAGACAGATGAATACATCAAAGATAAATCTCAATTATATTAGGAAGAGGTAATGAGAATATAAACAGAAGCGGCACCAACCAGAGGTGGAATAACAGCACTTGAATTTACAAGGAATTTCCAAAAGGTTAATCTGGAAAAATTCCAACATAAGAACCTTCACAGATGTTCAATATCAATATCTTCTTTGAGATGTCAAAGTGAAAGAAATAGAAATCTTTAACAGAAGCACCTAATCTTTATCACAAACAATAGGAGCTTTTCTAATACAGAAGGTATACATGAAGGGAATACAGAGAAAATATTTTATACATATATATATTTATAATACTCTGTACCTAGTATTTATAATGTTTTATACACAAGGATCCTACTAGAAAAGAAAGGAAAATTAAATAGAAAATGTAGCAGGCCCATGGAAGAATTACGTGCAAAACAGTAAAAAGATTAAATCCCCTTGGTCTAACAAAGCTTATATTAAAGCCTTTGATAGCAAAGAACATACATTACTCCTGTCTAAAACAAGACCTTGGAAAAAGGCCACCTTCTCCCTTACTTACAGTTCACTATAGCAGTATATCATACCATTTAAGTATCTTTTATTTCCTTAAGAATAAATCTTCTGAAAGGTGCCTAAAAGTAGAAAAAGTTAGAAGCTGAATGGAAAACTGGCTTGAAGAACCAGACCTGAACATCAGAGTAGTTACAATGTGAATATATATAACTGTATGCAAAAATAGATGACATTTGGGATTTTTTTGCAGGTCACACTTCTGTATGCAAAAATAGATGACATTTGGGATTTTTTTGCAGGTCACACTTAGAACATAAGTATTTAAGAAATATCAAAAAACTAGCAAGAGCATTCCTTTCACCCTCATCTTGCCGAAGAAAAAGGTTTGACCATTTTAATAATGCATTTATATTTAGAGAAAACATTTTTTGTCATTTCAAGAAGCCATTCTATTTAAATTGCAGTACATACTAAAAGTCCTAAAGATAACTGAGCAGCATTTATTTTTTTTCTGTGCATTGAAAAATCTATATTATTCCTAGATAACTAAATTTCTTCTCCTAATTTCAGAGCAATATTTAATATTAAAAATATAAAACCTATAATTAGATATTACAGCTAGAAATTAAAATCTATTCTTTAAAAAGGCAATACATATTAATTAAAGAAAACCTAGAAGAATCTCTCGGGATTGACATAATTTCTTAATCACAACTTCTAGTTTTCTAGGGTTTATTATTTTCTTTGATTTCTTTTTTTTCTTTCTTCTTGAAAAAATAGTGTATTTAATCCCAGCCTTTTGAGGTCATTTCACAAAAACAATGTCATTCTCACCATCATCTGTCCAGGTAAAGTAGGCATTTTTTCTACTGGTATATCTGTCTGCGTTGACTGAGGATGATTACAGATTTGATTCAATAGATGCTTGGCAGAGGAGCTTTTCCCATTCTCTGGCTCAGCTAACCATTGCTTCATAACCTTCAATTCTTTCATGCTGGTTTTGAAATTAGCTGACATATTTAACATAGTTTCATCTTCAAAAGCATTCATCTCCAGAGCTGAGATTGATCTTTTAATCAAACTTGTCTGTTAAAAAAAGGAAAACTTAATTTATTTAGATGTTCATTTGAAATAAGATTTATATACCACATTTCTTTAGTTTTAGTGGACTGGATTTTATTTTATATAAAATTGTAAAGAAAAAAAAAAAGAGTGACATGGGGACTACGTTGATAAAAAAAAAAATTGTATTTAATGGGAAAAAAGATATGCATATCTCAGGATATATGTCAAAGCAAAGGGGTGTGAAAAATTAATTCAAAGTTATTTGAAGCTCATAAAGGGCTGAAATCAGTCTTCCCTAAAAATTAATACAAGAAATTTAAATCAAATAACCCCAGACCTTGTAGGGAAGTTAAATTTTAAAATAAAAAAAGTATGCAACTGATGGTGACATTTACAGAAAAAATAAATTGAGGGATATTCATGAACCCAGAAGAAAAGACAGGAGGACTCTGCATAATGTTTACAAGTACAATTGTATTATATGGAAACATAGTTAATATCTGAATGTAATTATGCACTCTTATATTTTCTGTTCCCATCCCTGAATCACCTGATGAAATCAAATCCTAAAGAATAACTGTTATCCTCTGGTGTTTAATTGTTATTAATTATTAAGCAAGTATTTTTTGCAATAACAAATTATTGCTTCTCAGATGTTTTGTGAATTCCAGTTCACTAACCTGCGCTATAAACTAGGCATAACACATCTTTGTCAAATAAATTAAAATGCAATTTCATGTCCACTGCCTGAAATGTACAGAGGGAAACACTTGTTACTAAATTAAAATAAATTAAAAAAAAATGAAGTATTGAATAATTTTTAATTAGACTCTGACAGAGTATGGGAAACTGAAAGGTCCTTGATTTAAAGTAAGCACCACTTAGCAACAACTAAAACATCAATGCTCAATATCATATATTCAGGTATCCATATAGGTATGTAAATTAAAACACATATTAAATGGAACATTTGATTTTTCTCAACACACTGGAATATGGCAACACTGACATCTACTGGTGTTAGTCAGGTTTGGGGGAGCTTTTCTGCAAACAATCTTGAAGTTTCTTGTACATTCATGGAATTAAAGAGTGTTACTTCTGTTAGTTGCAATTCTACTGTCAGAGTAGACTGCTAAAGTGGACTTGATTCTCATTTCTGCTAATTGCAATGTATTTCCATTTAAAAACATATTTAAATTTTCAGAATACTGAATAAGTGGCAGTGGGTGTCTCAGCATAACTGAGAACCAGCCATTTGATTTAACAAACAAAATGCCTTCTTGAAGTACATTTGGTCATTAAAAAGGAATTCTTAAAATGCAGCACTTACTCATAAGTTGTAGTTCTTACACAGAGAAAAAGATTGCAGATCTAGGAGTAGTTCTCGAACTCTTTTTAGGTTTCATTCTTCAAATAGAAGCTTTGATCTATTTCTTAAAGAGAAGAAAAGTAAGAACTGAAATCCAAACTTATGACAAGCATTTGGCCTTCCTAGTTTTTCTTTATATTGAAGCATTTTTTTTTGTACTGGATTTTTGTGGCAAGGTTTTGGTAGTGGGGCAGCTACAGGGTGGCTTCTCTGAGAAGCTGCTGGAAGCTTCCTCCATGTCTGACAGAGCTAATGCCAAACAGTTCCAAGATGGACCTGGCACTGGACAAGGGTGAGCCCGTCAACGCTAGTGTGAGCACCTCTGGGACAATATGTTTCAGAAGGGGGGGAAAAAAAGCTGAGCAGGAGCAACTGAAGACAGCAAAGAAATATGTGACAGAAACAGCTGCAGAAACTGCAGACACTGAGTTTGGTGAAGAAGAAGAAGGGGGAAGAAGTGCTCCAGGTGACAGAGCTGAGATTCCCCTGCAGCCCATGGAGGTCCACAGAGGAGCAGTGACCCACCTGCAGCCTGTGGAGGAACCCCACCCCAGAGCAGGTGGGTGCCCCAAGGAGGCTGTGACCCTGTGGGAAGCTTATGCTGTACTAGGTTTTCAGCAAGACCTGTAGACCTGCAGAGAGGGGTCCAAACTGGAGTAGGTTTGCTGACAGAACTTGTGATCCATAGGGGACCCACACTGGAGCAGTACATGAAGAATTGTAGCCTGTGGAGTGGACTCCCTTTGGAGAAGTTCATGGAAAATTATTTCCTGTGGGAGGGACCCCACACTGGAGCCGGGGAAGAGTGTGAGGGTCTTCTCACCGAGGAGGAAAGAGCAGCGGAGGTAACACATGAAATGAACTCAATCCCATGTTCCCTTGTGCCGCTGGAGCTGGAAGAGGTAGCGAATTCTGGAGTAAAACCTTCAGAAGGAGAGAGGGGTGGGGGCAAAGTGTTTTTGAGATTTGATTTTATTTCTTGTTTTCCTACTCTGATTTGATTGGTAATAATGTAATTTTTTTTCTTCCAAGTCAAGTCTGTTTTGCATGTGATGGTAATTGGTGAGTGATCTCTCCCTGTTTTTATCTCAACCCATGAGCCTTTCACTATATTTTCTCTCCCCCGACCAGCTGAGGAGGGGACTGATGAAACAGCTTTAATGGGCACCAGGAGTCCAGCCAGGGTAAGTCCACCAAGGTGGTTCTGACTCTTCAGAGTGGGTGTCTGCATAAAAGGAATGTCAAATGAAGCTATACAACATGCAAAAAGGTATAAAACAATCAAAATATTTCTTATCATTTGGTGGTTAAAAGTGTTTTAAGGCAACAATGTAAAAAGAGCTGTCCCTCTCTAGGGCACTGCTGTCACAAATAGTTTTCAATTCAATGAGTTTATATTAAATAATCAACTGTGAGTTAATGCAAAACACCAGACTTTTCATTTCTGGAAGAGGGAAGCAACATGGAGTAAAGCTCCAAGTAATAATAATACTGATCTAATAATATTGTTTCCATCTGCTGGTAAAAAAGTGTAAAATCAGAATGTCTTGGGGAGATACAGGCATTCCTGTATGAAGGAACCTTAACAAACATAACATGAAGCTACAAATCTCATTAAAATATTTGCAGGATATCTGTGAGGAACAGGTTTGACAATCCACATATAACCTTCATAAAAATATATTCAGCTTAATACTTGTTTTCATGGCTAAAAAAATTAGCTTTTTTAACCCTCAGATTGATGCTTGCAGAGCATGCCAAGATTAAACAGGAGTGCAAAACAAGGCACCTTTGCTATCTGATTAAATAAATTTAATACAGGCAATCTCAGGAGAGAGTTGTACCTGACCTTGGGAAGTTTACATCTTGATAAAATGATGCATCCTGCTCTGCAAGACATTTTTTTTGCAGATGTGAATGAAAAGTTATATATATTTTTAAGCCTGTGGATGTTTTTCATAGTGAAGGCAAGACTTTAAAGCAAGAAAATTATTGCTTTCCTGATCTGATTTACCACAAAATCCTACCACTGCAGGCGTCTTTGGACTTTGTTATAGTCAAACAAGATTCTTTCACAGAAGAACTCAGAATTAGAGAAAAAAAAATCTATCGCTATTTAAATGGTTAAAGTAATTTCAATTTCACTATCCACTACACAGAAACCATGCATACCCCCAGACAGAAAATTTGCATTTGTGAAATTAGCTAAATGAAGGGAATTGGTCAGTTATGAAAGGTGAACAGCTTAAACGGACCTAAATTAGTGTCAGGTAAACGACACCTTCGACCTTCAAGGCTCCCACAAGGCAACCAGTTTTAAAAATGAGAACCAGGTGATTGTAGATGGTGCCACTAGATGGCAGTCCTCCAAAGAATTTAGTTCTGATTTCGGGGATTAATGAATTCAGCAAAGAATTTTAGTACAGGCTTCTTTTGAAATTTTAATTCTCTTCCTGTCTGGGGAATGTAGCTTTAAATCTAAAACTTTCTTCCCAAAAATTTCTAATCATTCATAAAGCTCAAGCACCCTCAATTTCCTGAACTTGTTGGCTACTTCTTGAAAATCAGATTCTCAGCTTCAAATCCTGTACTCCCCTAGCTTCTGCAATTCAGCTCCTCTAGATTCACTCCCAAGTAACTCTTTCAACTTCCCGGGTATTTCAAGGGGTTCTGTCCTTTACTCTCTTCTCATTTTCCTCTACCCAATGTCTAGTAACTTTATAGTCAAAGACACATACAGGTTCTTTCTCTATGGTAATGAATAGGAGCATGATTCACCACTCTGTTCTGCACCAACAGAAATATCAGCTGATCTTTCTCTTAGGGATGTCAAGCTGCCAGTTCTAGCTCAGCAAGGCTGAAAGGTAAGGTTCTAATGAGCCTTGGCCTTTTCAACCTTCATGACCTCTCCACTACTTTCTTTCTTCATTCACTATGGCTAGCACAGACTCAGAACACAGGTGATATTCATAACCTTCTAAAATTAAATGCTTTTTCTAATTTCTCTACAAAACTAATGTCTGATATCTAATTTCATATCTTGCTTGCTGCACCATCAGTTTCTTAACCTAGACAAGCATCATCTTGTTCTGTTCACAGTCATTCAAACTGCTACTGCAAAGACCATAGTTACTTCCTTGGAACACTATTCTATCCTTTGAAGCAACAAAAAAAGAAAAGCTCATTCAAATACAAGATGCTCTTCTGCTTTAAAAGCCTTCACAGCCTTTCCTTTTTTGGCATCTCCAAAGCAGTAAAATGATAAGTTCTACTTTTGTGACTTCTAACTCAATCACTGACTTCCTACGTTCAGGGGGGTTCCTTTCTGAACACCTTTTTGCCACCCTTACACAGCCTCTCACACTCCTGAGAGCCATTGATTTATTGTCTCAAAATTTCCTTAAATTCTCTCCCACCATATCCTGCAAAATAGTTAATGGCTGGGTTTCTGGTATGCTGAGACCTCTGCTTAAATGCTGATTAGTATCCTTATTCTCATTGAGTCCTTATATTCTCTGTATATATCTGTATGTATCTGTTCAGCAGACAGAAGTGCTGCTGAATCAAAAGCAAACACTCCAACAAAGACCATGAATCATATTCATGTGCTACCCAAATTGCTGACCAAAGCAGAAGCTCACAAAAACCAGGGGGAGACATCAGGGCCTAATCCTGTACCCTGAAATAATGCCATCCTTCATGCTTAGGACAAGATTGACTACATCAAAAGAATTCAATTACTAAAAACTTTCATGAAGCAATTTATTGATTCATATTTTAAGAACAGAGAGAAGCATCATTATTAGCCTGACCTTCTAAATAATATAGACAATAAAATTTCATCAGTATTCCTGCACCAAGCTCACGATTGGCTGCATGAAACCCAGGTAACACCTCAGAAAGAAATCTAGTCTTGATTTGAAGGTAGTAAATAATGGATAATTTCAGAATCTGCTACTGTCATTGCTATATATTGAAATCTTACAGCTAGTCTCAATTTGTCTATACTGAAATCTCAACTATTAGGTCTGTTACGTTTTCATTTAGCAAATCCTCTTGCATCAGAAACTGTAGCATACAGGTAACATATTCAGACCAGCTCTCTCTCTCTCTCTCTCTCTTTCATAAAACCTACATAATGATAAGTCTTAATACAGAACTGGTAGTCAAGAAAAAGAGAGAACACATACAGGAATTGACCGTTCTGCTTGCTCCCTTGTAACTTTATTTGAAACACTCTGTTAGTAAATTAAGTGCACAACATTCCTAAAAATATTCATATGGAAGAATAATCACATATTTAGCCAACGAAATCTGCTGACCCTCTCTGGAACTTTTCAGGGGCTGCAGGCAGATATTTATTTTCATTTCAAATCCAGAACATGGAGCCCTCTTCTAAGGGTGGATGCATCCATTCTTTCAAGGAGGGGCAAGGTGCTTTTTTTTTTCTTTTAAGAGTAAAAAGCAGAGATGTCATTTCCACCTTTTTTTTTGTTAATACATTATTGAAGCACTGAGCCAGGAAATGAGAATTCATTGCTTATCTGAGGATTCAAACCTCACTTACCATTAGATTATTTGAGCATTCTGGGTACAGGAAGTTGTGTTGCTGAGCAGAAAAGAATGCAAAAGTCATGCAGACAAGAAAGACAACAAGTGCTGACACGACCATCTCAGTTATTAGAGCACTTACCTGGAACAGAATAGCTCTGTATAATATTTCTAATCCCAAAACTTCTTTTCTATATTATTGCTAATGTCTCACTTCCTTTATTTTAAGGTAAATATGTTTAATTTATAGTTCAGAGAGTATTACAGAGACATCTTCTACTGCTTATCTTTCAAGAATGTAAAGCTCCTTTCAGAGTTACTGCTGCTTTTCAGGATACAATCTCCCCTTCTACAAAGTACGACCCTAATTCCCTATTCTTATCCTTATGACCTTGCATTTGGCTGCACTAAAATGCATTTTTTTCAAGTGAACCCGAGTTAACAAGCTACACAAATTGCCTTGTAAAACTGACCAAGCCTTATCCTTATTTACCACTCTACCATTCTTTAGTCACTATGGACTTTAGAAGCAATAATTTGGTATTTCTAGAGCTGGTGATACTCAGAAACTAGAAGTAGCAAACTGCCAGTCTGAAAAACCATCAGAAATAACTTGAGAGTATTAAGGCTCCAATTTTGAATTTTTTGGTATCCTTATAGAAACTAGAAAGACACAAAAAAGCAAAGTAATAAGTAGTGAAAAATAATA